ATGGAGTAGAAACCTATAACTCTAGAAATATATTTGCCAGTTTTCTATATATTTTGCTTTTTAGTGATACATTTAAATTTGTTGTTGTTGTTAGTACCGTGGAATTGATTTGGATTCCTAGAGAGCCTACATACAGCAGAGTGGAACCCCAGTCTTTTTGTGCCATCTCTCACCTTCTGGCACTATATCAGACAAGGCTCCACTGCTATTCATAGGGTTTTTGTGGCCAATTTCTTCGGAAGTCAGTAGCCAGGTTCTTCCTAATCTGTCAGCTCCACTGAAATCTGTCTACTATGGGTAACCCTGCTGGTATTTAAAATACCAATGGCATAGCTTTCAGCATCACAGCAACATGCCACTGCCACAGTATGACAACCAAGAGATGAGTGGCGTGGTTCCCTCACCAAGAAACGAAACTGAGATGTGGCGGTGAGAACATGCAATCTTAACCACTAGATCACCAGGGCTATCTGGTTACACTGAAATCACCCTTGCCTATTTTACAAAATGCGTCTAGTTTATCTTCTATTGGTTTTCCTTATTTCTTCTTTTATTCTTTGATAATTTGTGTTGTAAAAAATTGAAAGATGTGGATTTTCTGATATTTGAAAATTTCTAATTTAGTCTTGTTTTATTTAGAGAATATATTCTGTATGACTTCAATTTTAAAACTGACAAATTTATTTTATGTACCAGCATTTGGTTTATTCACCAAGTGTACCTGAAAAGAATATGTATTCTGCTCTATACATATCTATTGAATCAAGTTAGCTGATGATGTTGGCCATGTCTTCTACATCCTTAGGGTTTTTTCTGTCTATTCTATTAATTATTGAGAGGAAAGAATTTTGAAGGCCTGTTCTTAGGTACAAATACATTTCAGTTTTACATCTTCTTAATTACATTACTTGCTTGATATTATAAAACGTCCCTATGTCATCTTTGGTAATATTACTTTTCCGGATGACGTTTTCTTATAATATAATCACTCCAACCCTCTTATGGTTAGTATCCATGTCTTATTTCATTCCATTCCTTTTAGCTTATCTCTTTTTTTTTTTTTTTTTGAGAAAGATTAGCCCTGAGCTAACAACTGCCAATCCTCCTCTTTTTGCTGAGGAAGACTGGCCCTGAGCTAACATCCATGCCCATCTTCCTCTACTTTATATGTGGAACACCTACCACAGCATGGCTTTTGTCAAACGGTGCCATGTCTGCACCTGGGATCCAAAGCCACAAACTCCGGGCCGCAGAGAAGCAGAATGTACGAACTTAACCACTGCACCACCGGGCCAGCCCCAAGCTTATCTCTATTTTTGTAATTAAGGATCATTTATTACAGACTGCACAGAGTTTGGCCGTGCCTTTAATATAGTCTGACAATCTCTATAATTTAAATATGTAAAATATTTAAAGGAAAAAAGCGAAGAGAATTGTGGGTACAAATGTATAAATTACTCGTTCTTGGCTATCCTCTCAGAAAGGGACAAATCGAAGAATAAGCACATACATGATATATTCAGACAACATTCATCTTGGTTTTACACTTTTGAACATTTTAAAACATACATTCACTAACGCAAAAATGAAGCCACAATATAGGTCACAAATTTTCCAAATTCTCTGTGAATATATGTATATTTATTTACTAGAAGTGTGATAATGTGATGTACAACAAGAAATACAGTCATGTACCGAATAACGACGTTTTGGTCAACAATGGACCACATATACGATGGTGGTCCCATAAGGTTAGTACCACAGAACCTAGGTGTGTAGTAGGCTATACCATCTAGGTTTCTGTAAGTATACTCTATGATGTTCCCACAATGATGAAACTGCCTAACGATGAATTTCTCAGAATGCATCTCCGTCATTAAGCAATGCACGACTGTACACATATTTAGTCTTTCTCCTCGTTTCTGGCACAGAGCTCCTGAAATGCTTGGTATTGCCTAAGTGATGAAACCAATAAAGATGACTTTTGTTATATCAAAGAGGTGGCTTTGGGATAGCACCTAAGGATGGCAGCTGGTTGTCAGGAGAACCAACAATCTGATTGGAGGGTTGGAACTTTCAGCCCCCCACTCCTACTGAGTTGAGTCACCAATGGCCAATGATGTAATCAATCACACCCATGTAATTAGGCCTCCATAAGAACCCAGAAAGGGGGTCAGAGAGCTTCCAGTTTGGTGAACGCAGGGAGAGCAGTGTACCTGAAGAGGTCGTGGGAGGTCTGCACCCCTTCCCCATACCTTGCCCTATGCGAGCTTCCATATGGCTGTTTCTGAGTTACATCCTTTTATAATAAACCGTTAATCTAGTAAATAAAATGTCTCCCTGAGTTCTGAGCCACTCAAGCAAACTAACTGAACCCAAGTGGGGCGTTGCTGGAACCTCCAATCTATAGCCAGTCAGTCAGGAGTGCAGGTTTATAACACGGGGTTGTGACTAGCTTCTGAAAGGGGGAGGGGCAGTCTTATAGGACTGACCCCTTAACCTGTGAGATCTGATGCTACTTCTGGGCAAAGAGTGTCAGAAGTGAGTTGAACTGTAGGACACCCAGCTGGTGTAGGAGAATTGCCTGGTGATGTGGCAAAACCCACCCCTACACACTGGAATTGGTGTGGCCATAATCTTAAGCAGCCTTTCTCAAATAGGGTTCCATGAGAGAATTGGTTCCTACAGAAAATGACTTTAGTGAACATTGTCTTAAATACCCCAAGAAAGGTACATATCTAGGACCAGGCTAAATGCAAAAAAGAAAAATCAATTCACTAGCTACAATGGATTCTTTAATTAATGATGAATTCTCTCATGAAATCAGTTTGACAGAGGATACAAAATGAAAATAATCTAGGAATTTAGATACCTGAACTTTTTTTCCTGGCTGTTTTTGTATCCCATGAAGGATACCAGAATATATCATCCCCAAATATGCCTCTTTGACATAAAAATTATTTTGAGCTGAAGGTATTAAAAAACAGCAAACACAGAAAGAGCTTTCCCTTTTCTGCCTAAAGGCAGGATATAAATTCTTCTTTTACTGGAGACAGATTCTTATCAGCCCAGAGACTGGCACCAAAGGAATCTGTGAACAAACTATATTCCATTGGTTCCCTCCCATATATTTACATTCCCACAGTGTGCTGCCCTTGGAAGCCTAAAACTGCTTGTCTTCATCGTGTCATTTCTCTACAAATTTATTATTCTTTGCTGAAGATCCTATAGAAGCTAGAATTCTACGCTGCCACTCTAAGTTACTTTTGGTTTAGGTTTCTCCCCTGTGATGTGTACAGCACATGTTAACACCTATTTTTCTCTTGTTAATCTGTTTTTTTGTTAAAGAGTCCCAGTTGAAAACCTAAGATGGGTAGACACAGAGTTTTGCCTCCTCTACACTCATTAAAATCACGAATAGGGGCCAGCCCTGTGGCCGAGTGGTTAAGATCGCGTGCTCCGCTTCAGCAGCCCAGGGTTTCACAGGTTCAGATCCTGGGCAAAGACATAGCACTGCTCATCAGGCCATGCTGAGGCGGCATGCCACATGCCACAACTAGAAGGACCTACAACTAGAATATGCAACTATGTACTGGGGGACTTTGGAGAGAAGAAAAAGAAAAAAGAAGTCACAAACAATATATAGAGAGTGTGAGCAGAAACATTTCCTGTGTTGGGACAACTCATATTAATGGAATCCTTTGGTATGAACTTCCCATGAGGCAAGATGCCCCCACTAAACCTGTCCTTGGAAAATTTATTTAGTCAAAAACACAAGGAGGTTGGGAAAATTTATGATAAGGCATTTGTGGTGTTTTGTGACTTTGGCAAGACTGAATGTAGTGGGATCACTCCTGGCACTGGAGAAGTTTTTCAGTCTGTGCTTCTCTTAGGAGGGGTTATTCAAAAGTGGAGGGTGAGGTCATCAGACAGTAGCAATTTTACAGCACCCCAACTGCGGTCACCATCCCAGGCCAGGCTCCTTAGTGCCCTACAGCCTTCTTCTCATGCAGACATTGGATAGAACCCTTTGAAATGCCAGGACCTCTCCTTTCTGAAGTCTCAGGAATGCCTACCCTTTGCTTCCTGCCTTCCAGCCACAGCCCTCCCCTCTCACCTGGGACCATTTGAAATAACGTACTTAAGATTGCTCTCCTAAATCTGATCTCTAGGCCTGACTTAGTCCACACCACTCTCCTCACACTGTAGACATCTCCAATGCAGCCCCTTCTCCAGAACCCCAGACCTTCCAGTCCAGCTGCCCATGGGACACTTCCACTCTGAGACACCTCAAAATCAACCGTGTCCAAAATTCAACTTCTGATCCCCCTGTAACCTCTCCCCTACTTTGACTTCCCGATTTCCATGAAAAACAAAAAAACAAAACCTAAAAACTTGGTTTTTCATTTCTTACTATCAATCACAGCCGGACCTGATACAGCAGGAAATACTGTCGGTTCTTTTTAAAAAATTTAACAGGAATTTAATCACTTCTTCCTCCTCTCCCAGCACTGTTCTGGTCCATTCATCATCAAAATATTCCTGGAGTAGAACGCAGTTGACCCACCTTACTGGTCTCCGTGCATCCATCCTCACGTTCCCCTCCCCAACCCAATGTTTGGCCCTGCGCAAAATTTGAGATACCTTTAAAATTCCTACTCAGATAAAACCCTTCTTCTATGGCTTACGGCTCCCAAAGTCCTCATAGGGAAAGCACAACTCCTCACACTCTGCTCGTGCTGATACAGCATGGATCTCCCGAACAGTTGTGGTTCCGTCCCACCTCCACGCCTCTTGCTCACGCCGGTCCCTCTGCCAGTCAACACTCTCCTCCACGTCATCACACTGGCTTTCTGATATGGGGCCCCAACCACGAGCTCCCCACCGTTCTGGACACAGGGATCTAGACTGACAGACGTGAGCAGCGCCCGCCCTCGGGCAGGAGCTCGGGTTGCTCTGAGGGCGGGCGGGCCGGGGGCGGGCCGGAGCCGAGCGCTCACCTGAGCCGGCTCCCTCCGCGCGGCCGCCGCCATCGGCCTCGGGGGCGAAGCGCGGCCGGGCGCGGCGGGAGTCTGCGTTGGGGACGCGGACACCGCCGACGCAAGCTCCGCCCCGGCAGAACCTAGGCCTTGCCTCCGTCCAGTGGGGATAACGCCTCCACGTGCGCCTTCACTGTTCCTCCCCCTCCGGAGGGACCAAGCATTCATGACGCAGGCTCTGGTCAAACCTCTCAAGAGCCAACAAAACGTCTGTGGCGAAGAGGACGTCGGAAGTCCCGCCCAGCCATCTTCCGCACGCACGGAAACGCCCCCTTCCCGGGCCTTCACTGGACGTGCGGCGGCGCACTGGTTTCTGGGTAATGTAGTTCTCGGTGAGCCGCTAGCCTAGTCCCGGGGTTCCCGGCCTGGGCTCCTGGGAAAAGGCTGGGTGCCGCCGCAAAGAGCGGCGGTTTATGGGACGCCTAAGCCCCGAATATCCGGCGAGCCTTCGTTCCTCTTAAGGGGACCGCACCCAGATTCTGCGGAATGTAGTCTGCACCAATCACAAAATGTTTGGAGACATATTATTTCAGGTGTTCCCCAAAGCCGCAAATGGACATAGCACACCATAAAGTCTCTCTGTGTCCACTCATACCTGGGAGCTAATGACTATTACCTTGTTGCTTTTTAAATACATATAGACTGAAGCTTCAGCATCAGTTTTATGTTCTTCAGTTCTGGTTAGGGACAAGAGAAAAGACTCCAGACGGGGCCACGGAGTGGAAGAAAGAGGGACGTTGAGCTGCCCTGAAGCAAGTGGACAGATTTCCTCAGAAAACTTTTCTCGTGCCTGTATAATCAGTGATTGTATTCAACCCAGGAAGCAAGCAACACTGTTTTCTTCTAGATAATATTTCCTATCCATATCCCAAGATACATAGAATTGCTTCAAAGATTTGAGACCTGTCAGAAAAGAAGCGTGACCTTTTGAATGCCATTTCTTGAGTGGACTGTGTCTGTCATTGTCACAGTCGGAACATGAGTCCAAAATGGGTCATATGAACCCTAAGATAAATGTTGGGGACGCTAGGTCATCTCCTTGCTGTGAAATGATTACCATTTCACCTTTTATTGTAGGTAGATGTCTGCACAGGGAGTTGAGATTATCACTGGAAAAATTCCTGAAAGTTATTAATAACGATTCTACAGTTATTTGAAGAGAGTGGGAGAAATAGCTCTGGGGAAATATGTATGATAGGTGTAAAAAGGTAAGAGCTCTGTAAAGTTTGAGCCTGACTCCTGAAGTATGAGAAGTGTGAGAATGAAGCTGAGCATGTTGCTATATTGGAATCCTGACCACTCTCAAAGCTTTGTCCACAAGTTGTGGTACTTTTTTCTTTCCTGAAAACACAGAGCAATTGGAAGGAGAGGTAAAGAGGATATTTAGAAAAGGTCAGAATGGTAAAAATCAAGAGCAAAGCGTTGCTGTCATGGTAGTTCATTGCTCTAACATGTATGTGCATTTGAGACAGCAACCAGCCTAACAAGATAGGGCCCATCTGCAAGGCCCCTGGCCTAAGAAGATAAGGCCCCTAACCAATCTTCAAGCTAGGAGAATCAGATAGAGACTACCAAGACCCACATTCCACAGTTTGGGGACTTTCCCGGGCTTACACATGTGCCCTAGCACCCAGGAGTTGTCTGAAGGTGACCCAAGCCCCATACCAGAGTAAGAATCACACCCAGAGGTAGAGAGCTAGCATGCTAATGATACCTGCAACGCACATGATGGCATGCTGAACAACAGCACAAGTGCAAGGAAAACCCCACTTCTCCATGCCATGACAAGGTGCTCCTCCCCAGCCTTTGCCTAATAAAAAGCCCAACAATCGCACTCTCTAATGAGCCAGTCACCTGCCCCTTTCCTTTCTGGACCTGCTCCTTTGTGCCCCCCTTGTGCAAAAGCTAATAAACTTTTACTTTTCCACTCCCGTTTGTTGTCTCTCTTGATTTTTGTCCTGGGAGACAACAGGGACCCAATGTGCTGGTAACATTTTGGTGACCATGAAGGGACTTCTTTTAGTCTGAGTCAAAGATTGGACTGGCCCAGCACCAGACTAGCTGGCTGCCCGAATGTGGACATAAGCAGCTGCAGCCGAACCTTTGCTTTAGACTCCTGGATTCGGTAAGTCAGGTGGAGGCCTGGAAGCCAACACCCTCCAGTCCAACCAACTTTCTTAAAATCTCCCTCTGTTCCTTCTCTGTCCCTCATTTCTCTCTCCCTCTCTCTCCCTCTCTCTCTCTCTCTCTGAGTGATTCATGGTTGACCCCTGGGTCAGTCCTTTGACAGACAAGGCTGTAGTCTCTGGTTTCAGAGAGTCTGAGTTCCACCCCTGGGAGCTCTCCTCTGTTTTTTTTTTGGCATCTGGAGTGATTCCAGGTTGGCTCCTGGGTTAGTCATTTGACTGACAATCTGGAACCCTGTTTTATCTCCTCTCAAGAACCTGTTGATTATTTTAGGCTCCTACTGAGTCAGCTATGGGGACTTGTACTTTATTCTGTAAACTGTCCTGCCTGGGAACTGTTGCTTATTTAAGTTTGTTGGTTTGATTAAAATGAACATATTTTCAGAGTCATCAGCATTGGATATGATGCAGACATGCAGCCTTTACCCTACATTTATTGGTCAAATAAGCTGATATCTCTATTACAAAACTGATTAGCAAAAATAGTAACTTAAAATGATGGCTAATTTTGTCTAATGTCTCATGAAGTTTTGTAGGCAATCTAAATAACTATTCGGAAGGAGTAAACTAAGTAGATGTGAAATAAAATAAAATTGTTGTGTAGGGGCCGCCCTCTGGCCAAGTGGTTGTTTTTGCGCTCCGCTTCAGTGACCCTGGGTTTCAAGGGTTTGGATCCTGGGCGTAGACATGGCACTGCTCGTGAGGCCATGCTGAGGCAGCGTCCCACATGCCACAACTAGAAGGACTCACAACTAAATATGCACAACTATGCACAGAGGTGGGGTGGGGTGGTCAGGTATCATGCAGAGACATTGAAGAAACGACGCGGAGACTACAAATGAGACATATAGGTTTATTGGGCCCTACTTACGGGAGCATGTCCAGTGGTGGCCAGCTGGACGGAAGTGTGCACCCGCAACTGGCCCCCAAGAGAAGCTTGGTTAAGTAAGCAGAGGAACAAAGTCTGCATGCTTGCCAAAGGGCTGTCCTTGGTATGACTAGCGTTCCCAGAACAGAAACTCCCATGGAGAGGCTCTGTGTCCCGGTCAGATGCGCTGTTCTTTCATGGGATAAGTGAGGATCCAGACTGGCCAGGCCCAAATCGTTACAAATTCCCGTAGCTGGGGTGCCTGCCCAGAAGGGAGCCAGAAGGACACATGGTTGCAATGGGCCTGGGGGTTTCTGCTGAGCAAGGAAGGCCCAGGCCCTACAGGGACTTTGGGGAGAAAAAGGAAAAATAAAATCTTTAAAAGAAAAAAAAGTTTTAGGTAAACTTTTTTCTTTTTTTTTTAAAGACTTTTTTTTTTCCTTTTTCTCCCCAAAACCCCCCCGGTACATAGTTGTGTGTTCTTAGTTGTGGGTCCTTCTAGTTGTGGCATGTGGGACACCGCCTCAGCATGGCTTGATGGGCAGTGCCATGTCCGCACCAAGGATTCGAACCGATGAAACACTGGGCTACCTGCAGTGGAGCGCACGAACTTAACCACTTGGCCACGGGGTCAGCCCCAAGGGAAACTTCTTATGTGTTATCACATGTGTAAGATAACTTAAAATCTCTCTTTGAAACTTTGAAATTTTGCTAGGAGAAATTAAATGATAAAAATTCACTGAGTATCTACATGATTGAAACATTATCATTACGCATGTATAAGTTTATCTACTTTTAGCTTATTACAAAGAAACTAAAAGATATTTGGGTCTATTAGTAAATATGTCTTGTATTTTTATTTAAAAATTGTACCATGAAGTAACATGTTTCTAGAAATTATAAAATGTATTTATAAATTGGCAAAGCCACAGAACGCTAATGTGAAACTGTTCATAATTGCTTACCTTTTTAGTTTTCACTAGTCTGTAGAGGTTAAAAATTCTAATTAATATATGTAATTAAAGCTACTAAAAATAAGGAAAACATCTTTGTATTCAAGAAAAGATGCATGGTCAAGTTGGCTAAGATTGAAGTAAATCTAATTAAGTAAATAAGTTTTAACATAAAAAGTAAGCTGTTGCAAAAAATTAAAATTTGGTTTTCTTCCTCTTACAAGAGAGAATTTTCTTAAACTTCTAGTCTGCTCTCAATAAAGAGGTTATAAAAGGCTTTTCTTTATTTTTGAGTAAGTCTACCTAAAAGACAGAAAATCTTTATGTTTTGTTAAAATAATCTGCTATGTTCAAAAGGACTGAGGTCTATTAAGATTTTTTTGACTATTTTAACTATTTGCCCTTAAGTGTTTCTGCAGAGGGGACGCCCAAGATGAGCCAATGAGGGACCAGAATAGGCGTTTCCGTGTGAGCACATTCCCATCGGGGCGGGACTTCCGGCCACCTGCTCACGGCGGTCCTTTTCTTTGGAGGTTTTATTGGGTCTCGCCCCTGCCGGGCTCCGCTTGCTAGAGGACGGTCCTCCTAGAGGGAAGGTCGTAGTCATGGAGCAGCGAGGGAGGAAGGGGACACCCACCTAGTGAGCCAAGTCGCCCTCACATCCATCGCGGTCATTTTGGCTTCTCTGGTCAGCTCACCCCGTCGGAGGCTCCGGAGCGCCGGGTCGGGCTTGAGGGGACGGACGGGGAGGCGCGAGAGGAGGCGCCGTCCCCGCGGCCCAGGCGGCTCTGAGGCTCGGCGACGCCGCCCGGGGCCCCGCGCCAGGCCCGGGCCAGGGAGCGCCGCGCCCGGCGCCTCGTCTCCCGCCGCTCCCGGCCCCGCTCCGCCCCCGAGGCCGATGGCGGCGGCCGCGCGGAGGGAGCCGGCTCAGGTGAGCGCTCGGCTCCGGGCCGCCCCGCCCGCAGCGCAGGCCGAGCTCCAGCCCTCGGGTGGGCGCTGCTCCCGGGCCTGCAGCCCAGGCCCCGGGGCCGGGCCGGGGAGGCGCTCGTGGGGCCTGTGGCTGCGGGCGGGGGCCGGGCTGCGGGCGAGGTTCCCGGGCCGAGGGGACCCGGGGCCGCGTTGTGTCCGCAGGGAACAGTGTGAGGTGGGGTCCCCCCTGGACTGGCAGGGGAGGGGCTGCTCCTTCAGTCCGAGGGCCCGGAGCCGGGAGGGCTGTGAACAGAGAGGGACGCGGTGCGTTTTCGGGTTTCAAAAGTTGTCCAGGAGCTGCTCGGAGAGAACAGACGGGAAGGGGTGAGGAGGCCGGGGAGGCGCAGGGAGCGGAGTCCTGGTCCGAGGGCGCAGAGCTGGTCCGAGGCAGCTCTGAGGACTGAGGCCCGGAGGTCAGTGAGTGAAGCCGAGGTCACCGGGTCGCAGGGCGGGGCGGGGTCCAGACGTGGTGGCCTGCCTCTCCCCAGAGGTTCTGGGACAGGAAAAAGCACTTACGGAGCCTGCACAGGGAAGTAGAGGGTGTCCCAGCCCCTCGGTGGTACTAACACCAGCCGTGTGGTGTCCGTGATTGTGGCGTCTTGAGACTCTTCACTTGCTGCGTTCACAGCTCTCGGGTGCGGGGACCCTGAGGATACCCCCAAACCCTGTGTCCTGAGTGCAGGCCGAGGGTCACAGAGGTGTTGCAATTTCTGGTTACTAGTATAAACAGGTGTAGAAGGTTATCCCAGGAACTGATAGCAGCGTGTGCAAATGCTTGGAGGTGTGACTGAGCTGGAGACAAGGGACAGCAGGTCTCCATTCTTTCTGTGAAGAACACAGGTTGGGGTGGGTAGATGAGTGATGAGGCCTTAATGTGGCTGCCCAGGAGTTAGGTGTCTATTATGGACATAATGAGAGGTCTGGATAAGAGGAGGTAAGTGGTCTTAGCCAGGTCTTAGAAGGCTCCATCTGGCTGCAGAGAAGAGCACAGACTGTGGGTTAAGGGAGGATGCAAGAGCCCAGGAGGAGGCTACTGCTATAAACCCTGTACTGATGGACCAGAGTTGTGGCCACGGAGGTGGGAGAAAAGTTTGGATTCTAGGTCCATTTTTGAAGAAGGGCTAAGTTGACTTTTGGATGTTGTAGTTGAGGGAGGGCCAGCTCTGGTGGTCCAGCGGTTAAGATTTGGTGTCTCACTGCTGCAGCCTGAGTTTGTTTGTTGTCAGGGAACCACACCACGTTTTTGTCACATGTCATACTATGGCAGCTGCTTGTCGGTGTGATGCTGAAAGCTAGGCCACCAGTATGTCACATACCAACAGAGTCACCCAAGGTGGATAGGTTTCAGCAGAGCTTCCAGATTGTGACAAAATAGGAAGAAGGATCTGGCTACCCATTTCCAAAAAAACTGGGCATGAGAACTCTGTGACTAGCAGCAGAACATTGTCTGATATGGTCTGGAAGATGAGAAGATGGCACAAAAAATACTGGGCAGGGTTCTGCCCTGCTGTACACAGGGTCGCTACGAGTCTGAATTGACTCAATGGCACTAAAGCAACAAAGTTGTGGGAGAGGTTAGGGATGACTCCAGGGTTTTGGGTTGTAGCTGCTGAAGGGATGGAAGCTCCATCAAGTGGGATGTGGAAGTTGTTGGTAGGTTTATTTTCCTTGTGAATATCAGAAATTATATTTGGGCCCTCTTAAGAGTCTGACGTGTTTCAGAGAACAGTGAGCAGAGGCATAAAGAGGGCATCTGGAGACACGTATGGAAATCTGGGGAGGGGTTCAGGATGGAGACTTTCAAATGGCTATTGTGGCTCTTGTGTGGACCCGGGCGGAGCTGTGGTCACATTTAAGAAGTGGAACGCGGGATATAGTGATAATGCTGTTAGCGATTCAGAAAGACTGGGGTGCATGCTGAGGAATGGTTCTGTTGCTTAGCACCTGGTTGAGGTTCCTGAGTATGAGAAACACAGGTGAGGGAGGGCCGTGGCCATGGAAGGGTGTGGGAGAGATCATGATCTGGCAGGTGGCCAAGGCTTCCATGGGATGAGTGGGTGGGAGATGACTTCAGAGGTAGAGGAGTAAATGAGACAAGTTGACAGTGAGACTGGGGCTCCTGCGAATTCTCTACTGTTCACATTCACTAGAATTGTGTGTTGAGCCCTGATGGGGTCTGGGGTGTTCGAGTCTTGCTGGTGGGTAAGATCTGGGGTGAATGTAGTCAGTTGTGAGAGTCACTATGCCTGGCAGGGAGACTTTAAGGGCTGGGGTTTTAAGGAAGATTAAGTGGGGAGAGGCAGATTGTGGCTGCTGAGGGGACAGAAAGTGCATGACAGAAGTGGAAAAGGGTCATGGGTATCTGAAATTCACATGTGGTTCTGGGTGGCTGATCTTGAAGCAAGGATCAGAGGCAGGTGGGGAGGCCTTCAAAGCAGCATCTGGGGCTTTCCCTGGCTGTGGGATCCATCCGAGGACTGGGAAGGTACTGGATTGTGTTTGAGTTTGTGAAGCCCTCTCTGGGTGCCATGTGCCACGTCCATGGGTGAGCGCAGGGAGATGCCTGTATTGTAGGCCAGGGAGGTAGCAGAGCTGTGGGGACTGAAGACGTGAGAGTGTGTGTCTCCATCATGGTTTGCATTTACATAGGTGGTGTGAGCTGAGGGCCCCAAGGCCCGTGTAGTGGGGACTTAGGGGTGAAGCATGAGCCCACGTTTAGCTGTGTCTTGTAGCTACACTCTGGAAGATGCAGGGGAATTGCTTGACAGGAGGGATGGGGCCCTGCCGGCCAGGCCCAGAGCTTGAATGGCATCCATGTGTCCCCCTGCCTGTTATTTCTGAGGGCTGAACACAGTGATGATTGGGACCCTGAGGAGAGCGGCTATCAGTGGCAGCAGGGTCTGGTATCTTCTTTGAGGTTGGGAGCTCTGGAGGAGGAAGAGTGCGGAGTAGATGTGCGAGGTGAGGGCCTGTGGGTTCTGAGAGAGAAAGTTCATGGTTTCCTCTATCCCCATCTTGACAGGAGAGTATGACCTTTGGAGACGTTGCTGTGTACTTCTCCTGGGAGGAGTGGAGGCTCCTTGGTGAAGCTCAGAGGGACTTGTACCACGATGTGATGCTGGAGAACTTTGCACTCATATCCTCACTGGGTAAGGCCCTCTCCCTCCCCGTGACCTGGACTAGGCTCTGTATCCCATCTCATCCCCCTTTCCCTTGGGGCTGCTTTGTTCTCACATGTTGACAGTGGGCACTACTTGCTTCCCCAGCTTTCTGGGTGGTGCTGTGTTGCTAGGGCTGGGTGTGTGCACTGCCCTCTTCTCTCCCCTGCAGCCCTAATATGCTCTGTACTGAGCCCTCACAGGGAAGGATTCCAGGTCAGTAGTCTTGCAGTGAGGCTAGTCTATTGGATGGCGCCTTACTTGCCCTCTCCCTGGCCAAGTGACCATGTCCAGCGCCATAGCACTTCTGTGTGTGTGACAGGATTTGTTCCTTTCCTTTTTCTGACGTTTCCTACTACCTGTCTGTGCCTGGAATTGCAGGCATTGTCATGGTCACTACTTACCTGGACCATGGTCTACATTTTAAGACTCTCTTGCATGGTGTGTAGTGTTTAGTGTAGCTGTCTTTTCTTTTCCTTTCTTTTTTGTTCCAGCGTTGTTGTTCTATTAAGTGGTATATATTTAAAGTGTACAGTGTGTTGATTTCATATATGTATGCATTATGAAATAATTACATAGTCAAGTTAATGAACATCTCCATCACCTCATATAGGTACTTCTTTTTTTGGTAAGAACACTTCAGATATACTCTCCCAGTAAATTTCAAGTGTAAAGTACAGTATTATTAACTGTAGTCACCATGTTGTACATTATGTTTTCAGATCTTCTTCATCTGAAAACTGAACGTTTGTACTGTTTGATGAACAGTTCCACATTTTTCCCATTTCTCAGCCCCTGGCGTTCGACTGTCTATGAGTTCAATGTTTTGTGTGTGTGTGTTTCACAGTTCATTTATAAGTGATATCATACAGTATTTGTCTTTCTCTGACCAGCTTATTTCACTCAGCTCCAGATTCGCTCCAGATTCACCCATACTGTCACATATGGCAGGATTTCCTTCTTTTTTAAGGCTGAATAATACTTCGGGTGTGTGTGTGTGTGTTTGTGTGTGTGTGTACATCACACTTTTTTTGTCCATGTATTCATTTATGGACGTTGAGGTTGTTTCCCTGTCTTGTGTATTGTGAATAATGCTTCAGTGAAATGAGAGGGCAGATTATCTCTTCCACATTCTGATTTCATTTCCTTCAGATGTATTCGAAGAAATGGGATTGCTGGATCATATGGTAATTCTATTTGAATATTTGGAGGAACTTTCATAATCGCTTTACCAATTTCCATTCCAAAGAACAGTGTCCAAGGGTTCCATTCTCTCCACACCCTTCCCAACACTTACCTCTCCTCTTTTTGATGATGATCATCCTAAGGTATGAGGTAATATTTCGTGGTTTGGACTTACATTTTCCTTATTCCTGATTTACATTTTCCTGTAAGGAAGAGCAGTTTTTCATATATCCATTAGCCATTTGTATATCAAATTTGGAAAAAATGTCTACTCAGATCCCTTGCCTGTGTTTTACTCGGATTGTTCTTCGCTTTTGAGTCATATGAGTACCTTATATTTTAAAACTATTATCTGGGGCTGGCCCTGTGGTTGAGTGGTTAAGTTTGCGCTCCGCTTCATCAGCCTGGGGTTTAGCTGGTTCAGAGCCTGGGTGCGGACATGGCACTGCTCGTCAGGCCACGTTGAGGCGGCATCCCACATGCCACAACTAGAAGGACACACAATTAAAATATACAACTATGTACCAGGGGGCTTTAGGGAGAAAAAGAAAAAAATAAAAATAAAATCTTTAAAACTGTTATCTGTTTATGCGACCAGTGGCTTGCAAATATTTTCTCCCATTCTGTACGTTCCTTTTCATTTTGTTGATTGTTTCTTTTGCTGTGCAGAAGGTTTTTAATTTGATGTCATTCCACTTGTTTACTTTTGATGTTTTTTCCCTGGACTTCTAGTGTCATATCCAAAAAATCATTGCCAAGACCACTACAAATAGCTTATTCTCTGTATTTTTTCAAGAGATTTTACATTTTCATGTCTCACCTTTAACTCTTTAATCTATTTTGACTTCGTTATTTTTAGTAATGGAAGAAAGGGCTCCAGTTTCATCTTTTTGCATGTGAATATCCAGTTTATCCAACACTGTTTATTGAGGAGACTATATTTTCCCCATAGTGTGGTCTTGGCACCCCTGTCAAAGAGTAGTTCACCATATATGGCTGGGACTTCTTCAGGGCTCTGTATTTTGTTCCATTCCTTAGTGCATGTGTTTTTATGCCAGTATCACACTATTTTGATTCCTATAGCTTCCTAATGTAGTTTCAAATCAGGAAGTGTGATAGCTCCAGCTTTGATCTTCTTGCTCAAGATGGCTTTGGCTATTTGAGATCATTTGTGGTTCCATATGCATTTTCGGATTCCTTTGCTATTTCTGTGAAAAATTCCATTGATTGGGTCTGTACATCACATTGGGGAATACGGGCATTTTAACAGTATTAATTCTTCCAATCCAAGAACATGGGATATCTTTCCGTTTATTTGTGTCTTCACTTTCCTTCATCAGTGTCTTATAGTTTTCAGAGTCTAGCTCTTTCACCTCCTTGGTTAAATTTATTTGTGTGTATTTAATTGTTTTTTTTCTTTTTGAGGATTCTTAGCCCTGAGCTAACATCTGCTGCCAATCCTCCTCTTTTTGCTGAGGAAGACTGGCCCTGAGCTAACATCCGTGCCCATCTTCCTCTACTTTATATGTGGGATGCCTGCCACAGCATGGCTTGCCAAGTGGTGCCATGTCCACACTCGGGATCCAAACCGGCGAACCCCGGCCTGTCACAGCGGAACATGTGCACTTAACCACTGCACCACTGGGCTGGCCCCTGTATTTAATTGTTTTTGATGATATTGTCAGTGCACCTGCTTTCAATTTCTTATTCAGAATTTCACTGTGAGTGTATAGAAACACAACTGATTTTTTATGTTGATTTTGTATCCTGCAATCTTCCTGAATTTGTTTCCTAGTTGTAAGAGTTTTTTGTTGGAGTCTGGGATTTTCTCTCTCTAAGATCATGTCTTCTATCTTAAGATCACAGACGGTTTTACTTCCTTTTTTGTGATTTCGCTGCCTTTTCCTTTTCTTGCCTAAGTGTTCTGGCTAGGTCTTCCAGAACTATGTGAAGTAGAAGTGAGGAGAGTGGGCATCCTTGTCTTGTTCCTCCTTTTAGAAGAAAAGCTTTTAGCTTTTAACCATTCACTATGATGGTCGTGTGGGCTTATCGTATACGGCCTTTATTATATTGATGTACCTCAATATCATAGACTTTCTACACCTCATTTCTTGAAAGTTTTTAACATGAAAGTATGCTCAAATTTATTAAGTGCTTTTTTGCATCTCATAGCAATCATGTGATTTTTATCCTTCATTCTGTTAATATGGTGTCCCATTTGTTGCTTTGCATATGATGGAGCATCCCTTATCCTAAATCTCACTTGATCATAGTGTCAGATTCTTTGAACATGCTGTTGAATTTGGTTTGCTAGTATCTTGTTGAGGATTTTTCTTCTATGTTCATCAACTATATTGGCCTGTAATTTAATTTTCTTGTAGTCCTTATCTTGCTTTGGTATCAGGATAATGCTGGCCTTGAAAATTGAGTTTGGATGTTTTCCTTCCTCTTCAATGTTTTGGAAGAGTTGAGGAAGGATTGACATTCAGTTCTCCTTAAAATCTTTGGTGGAATTGGCCAGTGAATCTATCTGGTCCTGGGCTTTTCTTTATTGGGAGAATTTTGATTGATTCAGTGTCCTTACTTGTTATTGGTCTATTCAGATTTTCTGTTTCTTTATGATTCAGTCTTGATAGATTGTATGTTTCTAGGAGTTTTCCCACTTCTTCTAGTTAATCCACTTGATAGTAGTCTCTTAAGATGTTTGTGTTTCTATCATGTCAATTTTAATGTCTCTTGTTTTAGTTCTGACTTGAGTCTTCTCTCTTTTCTAAGATAGTCTGGCTGAAGGTTTTTTGGTTTTGTTTCTTTTCAAAAACCAGTTCTTAGTTTTGTTGCTACTTTTCTTTGTTTTTCTAGTCTGTATTTCATTTGTTTCTGCTCTGATCTTTGTTCTTTTCCTTTCTTCCCCCTAATTTGGGCCTCATTTGTTGTTCTTTTTCTAGTTCCTTATGGTGTAAGGGTAGGTTAATAATTTGAGATGTTTGTTTTTCCTCAAAGTAGGCATTGCTTGTTGTAAACTTTACTATTAGAACTGCTTTTGGTGCTTTTCATAAGTTTTAGCCTGTCTTCTTTCCATTTTCGTTTGTCTCAGGATAATTTTATTTTAAATTTTGATTTTTTTTCTTTATCCCACTGATTGTTCAGGAGTGTTCTTTAATGTCCACATATTCTTGAATGTTCCAGCTTTCATCTTATTACTGATTTCTCGTTTCACCCCTTTGTAGTCAGATAAGATTCTTGATATGATTTCAGTCTTAAGTCTGTTTAGATTTCTTTTGTCACCTAACATATGATCTGTCCCAGAGAATGTTCTGTCCACTTGAGAAGAATGTGTATTCTGCTATAGTTGGATGGAATGTTCTATATATGTTAGGTCCATTTGGTCTGAGGTGTAGTTCAAGTCAAACAGTTCCTTATTGATTTTCTATCTGGATGATCTACTCATTCTGGAAAGATGTGTATTGAAGTTGGCTATTAGTAGTTTGTAACTGTCATTTCTACCTTCCAATATGTTAATATATTTAGCTGCTTCGATGTTGGGTGCATATATACTTGTAATTGTTACATCCTCTAGGTGAATTGTCCCCTTTATCATTATATAGTGATGTTCTTTGTTTTCTGTGACACCTTTTGAGTTAAAAATCTTATAAGTTATTCTCTTTTGGTTTCCGTTTACATGGAATAATTTTTTGGATTCCTTCACTTTCAGCTTATTTGTGTCCTTGTAACTAAAGTGTGTCTCTTGTAGGCAACATGTAATTGAGTCCTGTTTTATTTCTCTGGTTAGCCAGTGTGTATCTTTTGGTTGGAGAATTTTGTAAGGACTTGATTGCCATCTTGTTAATTGTTTTCTGGCTATTTTATAGTCTCTGTTTCCTCTCTTGCTCTCTTTGTGATTTGATAATTTTCCATAGTGGTATGGTCTGATTCCTTTCTCTTTATCTATTGTAGGTTTTGGCTTTGTGATTACCATGGGATTTTCAAGCATCTTAAAGCAGTCTGTTTTAATCTGATAGCAACTTAACATCAATCGCATAAAAAGTACACTTTTGGTATCTCACCCCCCTGAATTTTATCTTTTTGATGTCACATTTTATATCTTTTTATATTGTATAACCATCAAGAAATTATTGTGGCTGTAGTTCTTTTTAATCCTCTTGTCTTTTATCCTTTATAGCAGAGGTAGGTGATTTACATGCCACCATATTACAGTATTGGTGTATTCTAAATTTGACTATCTACTTGCCTTTACCACTGTGCTTTGTATTTTCATGTGCTTTCATCTTTCTAATTAGTGTCTTTTCATTCCAGCTTGAAGAACTGTCTTTAGCATTTCTGGTAAGGCAGGTTAGTGGTGATGAACTCACTCAGCTTTTCTTTGTCTAGGAAAATCTTTCTCCCTCCTTCATTTTTGAAGGACAGCTTTGTGGATAAAGCATTCTTGTTTGACATTTTTTTCCTTTAATTTATTGAATTTATTATTGCACTCTCTCTGTGTCAGCCTGATTTAGCTGAGAAATCCACTTGCAGCCTTATAGGTGTTCCCATGTATGCAATAAGTTTCTTTTCTCTTTCTGCTTTTGAAATTCTCTTTGCCTTTGATTTTTGAAAGTTTTATTATACTGTCTTGCTGAAGATATCTTTAGATTGAATCTGTATGGGGACTTATGAGCACCATATACCTGGATGTCCACATCCCTCTTCTGATTTGGGAAATTTCCAGCCGTTATTTCTTTAAATAAGCTTTCTGCTCCTTTTCCCCTCACTTGTCCTAGTGGCACTCCTATAAAGCAAATATTATTTCTCCTGTTGGCATCCTATAATTTACATAGTTTTTCTTCTGTCTTTTTTCTCCATTGACTGGATGATTGAAATGACTTGATTTGAGGTCACACATTTTCACCTGCTTGATCAAAGTGAAAATTGACACTCCCTATTGCATTTTTCATTTCATTCTTTAGGTCTGGAATTTGTTTAATTTTTTAAATTTGTATATCTGAATTTCTTGATCATTTATTGTTTTGCTAATTTCAGTGAGTTGTCTGTCTATTTTCTTGGCTCTTACTGAGCTTCCTTAAAACAATTATTTTGAATTCATTGTCCAGCAGTGTGTAGATATGTGTTTCTTTGGGTTCACTTGCTGGAAACTCACTCTGCTTCTTTGGTGATTTTATGTTCCCTTGATGTTTTTGTGTTCCTTATAACCTTTTGTTGATGTCTCTGCATTTGATGAATCGGTCACCTCTTCCAATCTTCGGGGGCTGGTTTTGGTTGGGAAAGACCTTCACCTTGGGTTGGTTGCAATGTCATTGGCTGTGTGGGGTGTGGCAGTTTGGGCTCTAGGGAGGGACCAGCTGTGTAATCATTGTGCAAATGTCTGCTGCCTTGAACACCAGTTATTATATTGCAGTTGTTTTTTCCTGGGTTTGGACACATGCTTCTACACAGCCTCATGTCGCTAGCACTAAAGGTCTTGCAGGAATCCTTTTGCAAAGAAACAAGTTATAAAATACGTGTCTTGTTTTGTGTCACACCCTGTCCTTGCGTCCTTCTTTGGTGAGGTGCCTACCATTCTTTTGCCTCATGGGCCCAGTAATGCCCAGTAGGCACTTCCCTAACAAGATTCCAACTCCTTTAACTGGAAAAGCATTCCTTAGATTCTTTGTTAGATGTCATAGAAACATATTTGTAATGGGGTTCCTCCTCCGTCTAAAGTCAGCATGTACTTCACCACGGTTTCTTTGTGTCTAGGTTGCTGGAGTGGAGCAGAAGATGTGGAGGCTCCCTTTGAACACAGCATTTCTGTAGGTGTGTCACAGGACAGGACTCCCAAGGCAGGTCTGAGAAAAAGTGATTATGCCTGGGTTGAATGCAAGAAAGGCTTCAGGCCGAAGCACATGCTTGTTCAGGACAAGGGTGTGCACACTGGAAGACAGTGTTTTGTGTGCCGTGAATGTGGGAAAGCATTCAGGTACAGATCCTCATTTGTTGTTCACCAGAGAGTCCACGCTGGAGGAAGGCTTCATGTGTGTAGAGAATGTGGCAAATCTTTTAGGCGAACCTCAGCCTTCAGTCAGCATCGAAGAATTCATTCTGGAGCAAGGCAGTACAAATGCAGCAAATGTGGACAATCCTTTAACCAAAAATCTATCCTTATTTATCTCTGGAGAAGTCACTCTGGAGAAAGTTGTTACTTGTGCAGTGAATGTGTGCAGTCTTTTTGCTGTGGATCTATCCTTATTCAACAACGAACAGTTCACACAGGAGAAAGGCGTTATAAGTGCACTGAGTGTGGGATATCTTTTAGAAGAAAATGTTACCTCATTGTACACTGGAGACTTCACACTGGAGAAAGGTCTTATGAATGCAGTGATTGTGGGAAATCTTTTACCAAAAGCTTGGTACTCATTCTCCACCGGAGAGTACATACAGGAAGGAGGCCTTTTCAATGCAGTATATGTGGGAAGTCATTTACCAACAGCTCAAGACTAATTCTACACCAGAGAGTACACACAGGAAAAAGGCCTTATGAGTGCAGTGAATGTTGGAAATCCTTTAGCCATCTATCTTACCTCAATCAACACCAGACAGTGCATGTTGGAAAAAGGTCTTATGAATGTGGTGAATGTGGGAAATCTTTTTCATCTGGTTCCAACCTCAGTGATCATCAGAGAGTTCACACAGGAGAAAGGCCTTATGAATGCAGTCAATGTGGGAAATCTTTTATCCAAAGATGTCATCTTGTTAGACACCAACGAGTTCACACAGGAGAGAGATCATATGAGTGTAGTAAATGTGGGAAATGTTTCACCATTAGGCAGACCCTCCGTTATCATGAGAAAGTTCACACAGGAGAAAGACCTTATAAGTGCAATGATTGTGGGAAATCCTTTATAGAAAGATGCCATCTTGTTAAACACCAACGAGTTCACACAGGAGAAAAGCCTTATGAATGCAGTGAATGTGGGAAATCTTTTATCATAAGATCCAATCTTGTTGTACACCAGCGAGTTCACACAGGAGAGAGGCCATATGAGTGCAGTGAATGTGGAAAATCTTTCAGCCTTAGGAGCACCCTTCGTGATCATCAGAGAGTTCACACTGGAGAAAGGCCTTATGAGTGCAGTGAATGTGGAAAATCCTTTAGAGTAAATTCTCATCTCATTCGTCACTGGAGATTTCACACTGGAGAAAAGCCGTATAGATGTAGTGAATGTGGGAAATGTTTTAGGTCTAGTGTGAGCCTTCGTTGTCATGAGAGTATTCACACTGGTTCAAGACCTTATGAGTGTATTGACTGTGGGAAATCATATGCCATTAGACCGACCCTTACTCGACACCGAAGAATTCACACAGGAGAAAGACCTTATAAGTGTGGGGAATGTGGAAAATCCTTCCGGCGTAATTCACATCTCAGTGAACACCAGAGAGTTCACACTGGAGAAAAGAATTATGAGTGCACTGAATGTGGGAAATCATTTAGGGATCGTTCCCAGCTCAAAAAGCACCAAACAGTTCACACTGGAGAAAGGCCTTTTGAGTGTAGTGTATGTGGGAAATCTTATACCAGTAGCTCGACACTCGCAAAACACCGGAGAATTCATACAGGTGAAAGGCCTTATAGGTGCAGTGAATGTGGGAAATCATTTAGGGATCATTCCCAACTCAAAAAACACCAGCGAGTTCACACTGGAGAGAGGCCTTTTGAGTGTAGTGAATGTGGGAAATCTTATAGCAGTAACTGGACGCTTACTCAACACCAGAAAATTCACACAGGAAAAGGCCTTATAAGTACAGTGAATGTGGGAGATCTTTCATGAGTAGTTCACATTGCAGTAAACAACAGAGAGTTCACACTGGAGAAAGGCCTTATGAGTGCACTGAATGTGGGCAATCATTTACGGATAGTTCCCAATTTAGTAAACACCAGAGAGTCCACATTGGGTAAAGGCTTTATGAGCATAGTGAATGTGGAAAATGTTTTGTCTTTAGCTTGACGCTCAACACCGGAGAGTTCACACTAGAGTAAGGGTTTATGAGCGCACCCAGTGTGGGAAATGTTTAACCCAAAGCTCTGCACTCTGTCAACATGAGAGACTTGACACTGGATCAAGTTCTTATGAGTCAAGCAAATGTGGAAAATTCTTTAGCTAAAGGACTGTGTTCGCTTCACATCGATTGTTGATACTGCGTCAAGCCTAATGAGTGCAGGGAATGTCGAAAATGATTTCCTAAATCTCCACTCTCATTCAACACTGGAGAATTCACGGTGTAGAAAGTCCTTATGCTGTACCAGATGTGGTGAATCATTTTTAATTTGGCCTTTTTACTACCTTTTTTGTGCTATTTCATTGTTGTTTTAATTGCATTTCCCTAAGGATTCCTGATGAGCACTTTTTCAGATGTTCATTTACTATATGTATGTTTGTGATAAAATGTCCGCTAATATCTTTTGCTTATTCTTTTATGAAATTTGGCTACTATCCTTTTCTTTGGCAAATAGGGCTGTGAAGCAACGAAGGTGTATGTTGGAATTTCATTCTCAAATACATGACTGACCTCCTTTTATAATGGAATAATTATTTTCAGTACTGGAAGAATATATCCTAATTTTCTTTAAGATTTTTTATGCTGTGCACAATGTAATGGGTACAAATACCATATTTTTTTAATACTAATTTGCACTGTTAACATATTTTCCATTTGTTTCTTAACTTCAGACATTCAATAATGCTATAAAGTCTTACCTTGTAGTGTTTGCTCATTTTCCTGGTTTATCATTGGTGGGTCAGAGCAGATGGAGGCCCAGATGGTATCAGGATAGATTGGGTGTTCAAAGCCCCACAGGGAGGGAATGGGGAGGGCAGTGATCAGACACCCCCAAGGTGCCGGAGTTTGACTCTCAGGTCTCCATTCATCACTGGAGCTTATAGACAATGACCCCCTTCTGAGCCTCAGTTTCCTCCTGTGTGAAATGGGAACTAGAGGTGACCCTGCGCCTGGGCTATTGGAAGAGGTCAAGAGTCAAGGTGCCCATTCACTGCGCAGCAGCTGCACCTATTCTCTCCACCTGTGTGCAGTGACAATCACGGGGCAGGGCACCCCTTTATCCCCTCAGGCGGGAGGGGGCTGTGGGGTAGTGAGGTTTGGTGTGGGTTCCCCACCAGGGAATGTTTGAGTACCTTGCTGGAGCTCCTGGAGGCTCAGTTCACTGACTGTGAGATGCAGGTGATGACTGCATTGACCTTGGCCTCCCTGAGGATCAATAAAAGTAACAAACATGCTGAGTTCTTACTTTTTGAGTATTTTATTTTATTTTATTTATTTATTTATTTATTTTTTAAGATTTTATTATTTTTTTTCTCCCCAAAGCCCCCTGGTACATAGTTGTATATTCTTCATTGTGGGGCCTTCTAGTTGTGGCATGTGGGACACTGCCTCAGCGTGGTTTGATGAGCATTGCCATGTCCGTGCCCAGGATTCTAACCAATGAAACACGGCAGCCTGCAGCAGAGTGCGCGAACTTAACCACTCGGCCACGGGGCCAGCCCCATGAGTATTTTATTTTTAATTCTCACAACAACATGGTGAAGTGGGAAGTATCGTATTGCTGCAGAAATCCAGGGTCAGAGATAAGAAGTGGGTTCTCCAGGTTCACACAGTGGACAAGTGTCAGATTCAAGTGGCTGGATCATACCCCTGAGTCTTATCTCCAGAGCTGGGTGGTTTAATCTCTTTACCTCAACATGTGATCTCCCAGCCCAGGGCAGACCCACAGTGAGGACGAGGGAGGTGCAGCAGCTGCTGCTGTTTTTGTTGTTGGAATTATTGTCATGATCATTTTCCCCTGTTCCTGTGATGTCCCAGAGCGCTTACCTCCGCCCCCAGGTTCTCAAGGGAGCACCGTTGATTGTGTTTCTCCAGTGGCTTCACCCGTGGGAGGCTTTTCTCTCAGCCACAGTTATGTTAAGTCCAGAGGCTACGTCGTCCTCCCCTTTAAGCTGAGCACAGAGCTCAGGCATTCTGTATGTGCAGGTGATGCTGTAGACCTGTGGGCTCCTGGTCTCACTGGGTAAGGGCTCCCCTCTCCATGTAGGGATCCACAGCCTCCTTGATTCTGCCCTCTCAATCCAGGCCTGGGTGGTCGAGAAGAGCCGTGAACTCACCTTTCCTCCTCCCTGTAGCTCTCACAATGTTCTGGACCCATGTCCTCCATTCCAGTCTTCCTATGTCTCTACTAGGAATCTTTGGGTAGAAACGTCATCTTTCTAAACACAAACCCTCACCCAAGTGCTGCCTGCACATTTGGGCCTCACTCTGAGTTCTTTATTCCAGATTCCACAGAAGGGAACCTTACTGGCCCAGCCTGGTTGGGCCAAGTGTCGCTACAGCCTGTTAGCAGGGTCGTGGGTGAGGGGTTGTTTTCAGAAGAGAGGGCGAGTCAGGCAGCCCTCTGGGAAGACGTTTGCCGTGAGTGCTCCCTGGGTATCTTCCTAAACAACACAATCTCAGTAAAAGTGCCTTTGAGGGCTGCACTCTCGTCCCTTGTTTCCATGGCCTGGGCCATGTTCCTGTGCTGGTCCAGGAGATGTTTTTAGGCGATGCACAGAAACAGCACCAGGTGGCATGCATGGACACCCTGAGGAAGCCGGTTCTTCCTTTCTATTCCCTTTGATTGTTGTCAGGAGAATGTCTTGAAGTTGTGCTGCATCTGTAATGGCCTCCTAACTGTTAACTAATTTCCCTTCTCAACAGAAGGAGCAGCCCTGAGCTGGTCCCAGGAGCTCTCTGGGATTCAGAGCAGTATTTTGACTTTGGTTGTATTTTCATGGTCAGCTTCCATTTGTGGCAAGTCAAAGTAGTTTTCCTAGTTAGCAGAGAGACAAGTGTGCTTTTTAGAATACTCTCTAAGACAGATGGAATGTGGGTTAGTTTACCGAGAGTAAATTAGTAACAATGGTCAGAGCTAAGGTCCCTTTAGCACAGAGCAAGTGTCAGACCTGTTGCAGACAGTGTTCATCTCTACTCATTTAATTCTAATGAAATCTCTATCCTCAGCAAAGTAAGGAAAATTTGGCCACTGTTCTGAGTCCCTCAGAAAGCTTATTCAGTGCAGATGTGCCTTTGTGATGAGGTGCTGTCCTGGGCTTTCTTTCCTTGTGAAATTCCTGTCTTTTATGAAGTGAGCGTGAGAGTAGCTGATAGTTGTCCTTGAAATGCCCTTAATGGACCAAATCACTGTGTGAGTTTTCTAGTTTTAAAACTTTTTTAGAGGTTCGTGTACTGTGCAAATCTGGGAATCACTAAGTCATCTCACACAGAGTCCCCTTCCTTGAGGATTAAAGACTCCAGACCACCCTCCCCTCATGGCCCACCTTCTTCATGAATGCTGGCCCCACTCAGTGGCTGTGTCGGGTTCCTCTTTAGTGTCGCACTTGGGAGACTGGCTGTGGAGCCAGATCACCTGGTGAGAATCCTAGCTGTTCCACTCACAGGCTGTGTGGTCCCGGGCAAGTTTCTCAGCCCCTCTGTGCCTCAGGTTCCACCTTGCAAAAATGGGGTGATGCAGTATCTATGTCACAGCGTTGTGAGTGTGAATGAGTTCATGTATGAAAAGGACACAGAACAGAGTCTGTTCCTGAGTGTGCAAGATCGAGGTATGAACCCTGCTGCCATCACTGCTGTTGTTGACATCTTCATCATCATCATGATCATCCTCATCCTCATTGTTGTCATCATCATTCTCATCATCATCATCATCATGGACATGCCTGGACTTGGCATCTTCTGGAACAGGGTTGTGTTGCTGTGTGCTTCAACAGCAAGATGATAGAGAAGGCCAACCTGGGTCTGTGATTTTGATCAGCCACATTTCAGTTCCATGTCCTTCACAAAGCAGTTAATCTCCGACCCTCAGTTTCTTCATCTAAAAATGAGGGGTTTCCTGCACCTGCTACATGAGGAGGCTGCAAGGAAAACCCCAAATAGAATCTTTTAGTTCAGGGCCTACAGGAAGGGCCATCTCCTTCTTACAGAGGCTCAGTAAAGACACGTAACATGCTCCTGAATGAGAAAACTCAACATTTTATACATGTTAATTCTACAAATTAGTCTATAAATGTAATGAATTTCATAAACTTATAATGCAAGTGAAATGCCTGAAAAAGTCACTGAGTCATGTGAACACCCTACAAATATTGGTTCTGAACTTACTGTTAGGGATCAGCATCCTGTGGCAGCATGGCGCAGGGATGGAGCATCTGGACTCAGCTAGCGTGTGAGTCCTTCCTGGTGCTGACACTCACCAGCAGTGGGTCATGGGACCCAACCTTGAACTTCTCTTGGCCTCGGTTTTCATCTCCACACCAGGGATAATAATATGAGTACCCCCCTCATAGAGTTACTGTGTGGAAAAAAATAAATAAAAAACCGTAGCACACGGTTGTTAGAACTCCGCCGGAAGCCAATGTTGCACGTGTATGTGGGCTGTTAGCTTTGTGTGCCTTGGGGTGGGGTAGGATGGCAGAGAGCAGCTTCTCCGTCCAGTTTCAGCCTAATTCACCTTGCTGCCCAAGGCCTCTTGGAAAGACTGACAGGCTTCTGGGTGTCAGCTTGGGTCCACCTGCCTCCATTATGTGAGGACCCAGAGGTCACTGTGGAGCCAGGCGGTTGCTGTGATAACATCCAGTGCAGGTGGGAACAGCACGAATTGAGCCCCTTCTTTCTGGTGTATGTCCCATTTTCCCCAGCACCTATCAAGGAGACCTGTTCACTGGGACGTGCTCAGCATCTGTGTGCCCTGAAGTCCGGAATCCCCTTGGGCAGGTGTGACTGGCTGTGAGGGATGGTGTGGGAACCATAGTTGACACAGAATCAGGCGAGATGAATACAAGTGGGGCAGACTGCAGGTGAGTAGAGAAGACATGTCCCTGCTGGGGCCTCCACAAATATTCCCAAGAATAGGGAGGTGCACCGTGAGCGTGTACAGAAATTCTCAGTATGTCCAGTATTGTGTCCCTCACGGACCAGGTCCGTGGCTGGACAATCTAAAGATTCTGTAGATGCCCACGGCTGTACCTGGAGGGCGCTGCTGCACAGGCAAGAAACCAGGAATCGAGAGGAGAGAAGGCCCGTGGTTCATAGGTCTTGCGTGACCCACTTCTAGGTGCTGGTGGCTCAGGGGAAAATAGCCTTTATTACCCGACAATTTTTTTTTTTACCGCTGAGGCAGAGCTCCTCCTCCGAGCATATGAAGGGAGAGGTAGTAAATAGCGATTTCGGACACAGGCTCGGGCCCGACGGCGGAGACGGAGCCCCGGGTACTGGCGGGTGGCGGCCGCGGGCAGAGTGGCCTGCGAGCCCGAGGTTGGCGAGCAGGGGTGCGGGCTCGCCGAGGGGCTCCGAAGCGGAGGGAGGGGACAGGACGGGCGGCGGGCGGGACACCCACCTGCAGGGAGGTGAGGAGGGGCCGCCCTGACGCCCGCGCGGAGGGGTTGGGCTGCGGCTCCCTGAGGGTCTAACGGGAAGGGCCTGAGAAGGGGTCTCAGCTGGGTAAGAGGCGTTCTTCCCAGGGAAAGTGACTGTTACAAAAATAACTGTGCCCCGGAGCTGAGCCGAGAGGGACTTGGGTCCAGTGAGGGAGAACTGGGGCAAACAAAGAAAGCTTCCCTATCTAGAAGCTAAGTTAGTTGGGGAAATGGAGGCAGGCATGGTGTCCGTTACGGCAGCTTCTGGGAATTCTGAAGGGTGGGCTGGAGGTTCTGGGTCTTGGGAGTACCCGCTCCTTTGCTCCCATTCGTATTGAGATGTGGTGACTTGAAGTTGGTACTCCCAGGGTAGTCACTGAAGACACATGTACATGTTTTTTCTGTGACTGTTGGCTGTTCCAAACTCAGTCCCTACACTTTCCCTTGCTGGGTTAGGCTGCAGTTTCTGTGTTTCTCTTACCTACTGTTTCATGTCCTGTCAAAAGCTAGAAGCTGGATTTGAGGGATGTTTGTCTGTTTCTTTCCCACTTGATAACGTGGTCTATGGTGGGTACCATATCTCTGACCTTAGAAGTGGGCAGTCAGCAATCTCATTATCTGCACTGCAAAGGGGCTCAGGGATCCCCAGCTCTCAAGAGATCTTCTGACCACGATTGATGAAACTTTTGTGGGACTTAGACTTGAGTATTTCCCAGGGAGGTAAAGGTTAGGTGGAATCAAGCCTGGAACTATGAGGTGATATCTCTAAGGAAGGGATTTGGGGAAGAGTGAGCAATTCCATTCCAGAAGGTTGGCATCACCTCTTTCTTCATCTACTTCTTTAGGAGACTAGGTTTCTGTGCTGTTAGAAAGTTGGGTCAAATAGCCAGGCACTTGGGCAGGGCGTGAGTAGAGAAAAGGCAGCTGGATTACCAAGGGACAGGAGTCCCCTCCTCCCATGTATTTTAAATGGTCTGCTGACCTCCTTAGGCCCTCATAGATAGGAGCTTATTGCATTTTCTCTTATTTTACTTCCTCCTTTTTCCTTTTTATTCTACTGTATTTTATAACTACATTTCTTCTTAATTACAAAAGTAATATGTACATATTTTAAAATATTCAGGCTATACAGAAGTGCAAATCTTCCCACACATACCTCACTCATTATATTTCATTCTGAAAGGTCAGAGATAAGAGACAGCAGATCAGAATAATCTTGCTTCACTTTGGGGGATGTGCCACCAAACGCAATTATGTTTTCATGTTCTCACCAAACTCTGGTTTCTCATTCTTTTCTCAGTGTTCCCTTCTGGGATGATACTCTGATTTATTGTGCTCCTTTCAGGGTCATTTTGTCTTGCTTCTATCAAGTTCAACCGATAGAGAGCTCTACTCTGGGTTATCTCTCACCTCCTTAAATACACCCCCCTCCCCCCGAGTTGTGCACTGAGTATCCTAGGAAATGTCCAGATAGATGGCCAAAACTTTTTTCTCTTTTATGGGCAGAAAAGAAATGTTTGTTTGGGAGAATTATTGGCATCTCTGCTAAAGTGAGGAATTTGAGATCTCTATCTTCTGGTCCATGGTCTCTGCATGCTCAGATTATATGACTGTCCTTTCATTATCCCAAAAGAAGATGATGATTCTCCTAAGGAGCAGCCGTATCTGTCGTTCTGTAGTGATAGAAGCTCCCAAGTTTCTCTGGGTTTGAAATTGGTTTTCCTCTAAACCTCAGTACAACTGGGACATTTCCTACTACCACCTTATTAATTGAATTTGTCCTTCTTGGCTTTAGAAACCCTCTAATGTGCCCAGCCTTTGTACAGTGCTCTCAGTAACCTCGATGTTGTCCCCCAAAAGCTTTTATTTTCTCTCCTGCAAAGCCAGTCCTAGAAATATTGTGTAGATGTGTGTGTGTGTGTGTGTGTGTGTGTGTGTTCTTAATCTTCTCTAGGCTTTGCCATTTTCTACATCTTGTTGGTATCCTATCTCTTTCTTCTGTACATCCCTTTTGTCTTTTCCACCTTCTCCTTAATCAAATCCTACCTTCAAGAAATGATCTGGAATTGCTCCATATTAAGGTGGAAGTAACAAATAGTCACTTAAAGTATTAATTCTTCCAAGAGTTTTTGCTCCTTAAGAGGGAAGAGAGCTAAGGAGTGGAATTATCAATATGGAATTTCAAACATAGATCTGGAGTTACAAAACTATGTTTGGTGAAGAGAGTTTTCCCATCGCCCTTGAAGTCACACCTCATATCTTCTAACTCTTACTTTGCCCACGAGCAAGGATTGCTCTTCTATGGTTTGCTTGTTTGTGTGCACTGATAGGAATTTGACTTGTGAGGAGGCACAGGGTGGGAGAAGCAAGCGTCTGGCCTGCTCTCTAATACTAAGGCATTTCAGATTGGAAAGTAATTAAAGTGTGAGTCAATGAACTTAAAATAAGGAAATGCAGCAGGCATCTAGGAAGAGGGATACCTTAAAACCCTATACAATACACTCCCACTTCCCAAGAGTGTTTTAGGAACAATTTAGTCATTGACTGAACAGTAACTGAGCTGAGTCAGGAGCCTAGGTGAGCACAGCGTGTGCAGATTTCTGGGTCCAGGCTGTAGCTTCTGTTTAGGGGCAGTGGGTATCTTTTCAGAGTGTCCTTTCGCTCTGTGGTGATTTGATTTTTTTTTTTTTAACTTGTGTTTCTCAAGTTCAGGAATTAATAGAAATAATGACCCAAAGTTTTTTAAACATTTAACATCAACTGAAAATTCAGAGAACTTAGTTTTTTCAGCCACAGTTGCTTCAGTCTTAGGGTGGAAGGGCCACATATTGGGTGTGATTAGGCCATCTGAGGCAAAGTAACAGGTGACAGGAAAAGCAGTCAGCTCATGTGAGTTGCAACAGTACCTTGTGGGCTGGGTCCCAAGAGGGCCCTTCGTCCAAGGGAGATCACAAAGACGAAAGGAAGAGATTTGGTTCTCTGAGGCCTATTAAAAACATTCCCAAATGGAACTGGGTAAGAATCTATCCAGATGGTACGGAGGGAGGAGTAGATGGAGGAGGGAAGCAGGATAGCTTTGGTCTTAATTAACTGAGGGAGCATTTAATGAGCACCTACTAGGGACCAGGCATTGTGCTCTGCTCTCGAGGCTCAAGATGACATAAAAAATAGTCACACTTTCTGAGAAGTTCATAGTTTAGCAGAGTAGATAGACACAAACAATGAACTCATATAATGTAATAACTGCTGTCATAGAAATATATTCTTTATACCGTGGGACCCAGAGGAATCAGTGATGAATTCTGCTGGGGTAAGAGGGTAATTATGCAATTTTGTGGAGAAGGTGACATTTGAAATGACCTTAAAGATGCATTAGGAGTTTGCTAGGCAGATAGTGGGGAAGGGCATGCCAATCTTTCCAGGTCAATAATAGGGAGTTTATACTACCATGCTGATGAGAGATAAGTATGCTTTTTGCCTCTTGGAGAAATATAAGGGAGAAGTGGGGGAAGTGGAAGGACTCTGGTTTGAACCAGTGACTCATCGATTAACATTGGGTCAACATGATGAAAAAGAGCTGAACCAAATAGTGAAACTCTCTGTTCAAGATTCTGGTGATTTTGGTCTAAACAAAGTTGGAGAGTTGAAGGCATTTACTAGCTTCTGCCCTATCTTCCATACTCAGTAAATCTTTTACGTTAATCCCAAGGCCCATTGAATCCTGAAAAAGTTACCACTTCTTTCCCTATCACCTTCCATTCAATTGCTTCTATTGCAACCAGCTTGGCCCGGTTTGGTCAAGAACTTCTAGAGAGGCATAGTAATGAGTGAGTCCTTCTGTCAGAAGGCCATGGGATTGGATCCCAGTTCCCAGGGAAGGCCTGGGTCTTCCTAACTTGTTTTTAGTCCCAAAAGAAGTACTTACTTAAACTGAATAGAGGCAGAACTCTATCCAGCCTAAGCTCTTGTTCCTGGCCTGGTGCCCTCTTTGGAGTTCAGTTCAGAATCTCCTGCTTACTTCAGAGGTATAGTTGCCAAGGTAACCTGGCAAGTCGATTGACTTTATTTGCCTCAGTTTCCTCACTGTAAAATACAGAGAAACTGGATTAGAAGACCTCTAGTCTGCCTCTTATGTAGCAAAGTAACCTTATGGGGTTTGGGAGTAGGCTAGACTGCAGGGGCTATGTATCTGGAACTGTCTCTATTGATAAGTGACAGACTTCTGGAGGCTTTGTATGTAGTTGGCACAGGAACTCAAAGCTACAAGTGGAAGGGGGCCTGAGGAAGGGAGTCTGGCTCTAGACGGGATTGGCAGGCTAAGAAACCTTTCCTATTTATATTTTCCTGTGCTGCTGGGAGAGCCGCCCATATTAAAGAACTTGCCTCTTCATCCTCCTCCTTGCTCTTCCCAATGGGCTAATGCCATGGTCAAGCCTCAGTCCTCCCTAGTTAGTGGCCATTTGATGAACCATTCTCGTGGAGCTCCACTTCTAAGAGGTTAAATCTGATTTCTTCCCTTCTGAACTGAAAAGGTTGAAGGGAGAAATAACCTCCTCCTTTTTTTTGCCTCAGGTTTGAAGGTAATCATGACACCAACTTGACTGGCTGTGGTTTATTTTTTGCCTTTGAATGGATGATTTTCCCACAGTCAACTGTTAGCAAAAAAATCACCACCAGAATAGGGAAGAAATCAAATGACTCTTATACATATTATTTCATTTGTGTACCCCTGATCTCTTGAGAGTCTAGTTATTGCATAAAAAGCGTGATACACTTATAAACATGTTGAAATTAAAGATTAAGGCACAGAGATGGGACAGGGAAGATAGGACATGTTCTTGAGGTGACACCTTGGCGTGGGAGGTAGTCTTTTCTAACCCAGTAGTTACTAATCTCTGACAATCCAAGGTTGCTTAGTAGCTAGAAAGTTTGCTGATCGTGTCTGGGCTCTGGCTTGACTTACCCTCTGTGGGGGTTAGTGACAACGGCTTTGCAACCTGATGTGTCTGTGACTGTTTCCTATCTTCACACTTCCCCAATTCCCAACTGTTTTCCCAGGCCTGGAGTGAGGTGTCTGCCCGTGAGAATTCGGTCCATTCTAACTCCCATGTTTTCGTGTTGTAGAGCAGTAACCTTGAGGCTTAGTGTTCTTCTGCCCCTTGGATCACATGCTTTGAAATAGACAAAAATGTGAGGGAGTAAGTGGAAGAATCTGGTAATTTTTCCTGTTGTTTCTTAGGAGTATGATATATGTATGTCAGCTAAAGAAAACTTGATTAGCTTATCATTTGTAGGTTTTTTTTCCTCTTGTGTCATTTGTGTTCTGTTTTAAAGTGTAGGGTTATGATGGCCTATCCTTTTTTCCTATGAAACAATGCATATGAAGTACCACATAAATTTGTAAAAATAATTCATCCTCACAGATGCTGAGAAGCCCTAAGAGAAACAAATTTCTTAAATGTACCCAGAACTTTGAAATTGAAATCGAATTCTGCTCTTTGCTGCTTTCACGTATCCCTGCCAGCAAGATCCTTGTAGAGAAGGAAGCTGAGGCTCAGAAAGGCAAAGGGAGTGAGGAGCTTAAGATCCCAGGGGATCAACTGGAAAAGCAGAGACTAAAACTCAGGATTGCCGACTCCAAAGCCCTTACCACTGCATGGACCGCCTCTGTCTACTTTGCCTTCCCACTTTCATAATTGCTCCATCGCTTTAGTGGCAGGGCTGGAGAATCCTCTGCCCCCTGGAGAGCTGTATTCAGCCCTCATCTTAATGTCACCTCGCAGTGCTTTAGTGGTAACCATAGCCTATAGGCTGGTCAGAGACTGGACTTCCTCCCATCCCTACTAACCCATTTTTCAGTGTCAGGCCTCTCCAAAGCAATATTTTTAAAACTTTTTTTTATCACAACTCATTAAAAAAACATTTTACATCATAACTCAGTGTGTGTACATACACACACAAGTGAAACATTTTCACAAGATGATTCTTAATGCTTATTATTTGCAACACTTGATATTTTTTGTTCTATTTTAAAATATCCTTGTTATGATCCACCAAGTGATTTCAAGGTCACTATTGGCTTACAGCCCACAGTTTGAGAAACGCTGCTCTAACGGTTTGAGGATAAAAAGAGCTAAAGAACTATGACTAGTGATTAAGAAGCTAATTAATACTGATTCTTAGAGTACTGGTTCCCAGAATTTTGGATTTCGTGGACCAATTAATTTAAATTTGGGGGTTTTTATTTTTCCATGTAAGGATATTTAGAAAGCTTACTACTGCCTATCAACACCATTATTTTTTAAAAAGCATTAAAAAAGTTATTTTAAAAACTTTAAAAATATACATTTCTTGTGAAAAAAGAAATAATTATATAGAATGAAAAAATATGAATCCTTTACATAGCGCCCTCCTCAATTCCACTCTCCTCCCAGGCACTGCTAACAGATAGGTGGATATCCTTCCATGCCTTTTTCTATGCAGGGTTTTGTTTTGTTTTACAGAAATAGAATCTAATCGTGTTTTGCTCTATAACTTTTTGTTTTTTACACTTAAAAATAGGTCTTAGAGGTTTTCTCATGCAATAGATATTTACCTTTGAGAGAAAATTGATACTAAGAAAGTGAGAAATTAGAAATCTTGTTATAAAGGATACTCTTTCAAACTGAATGAATTTAGCTTTAAGAAAACAAATACAGGGCCAGCCCCATGGCCGAGTGCTTAAATTTGTGTGCTCTGCTATGGCGGCCCAGGGTTTCACTGGTTTGGATCCTGGGCGTGGACATGACACTGCTCATCAGGCCACGTTGAGGCGGTGTCCCACATGCCACATCTAGAAGGACCCACAACTAAAATATACAACTATGTACTGGGGGGATTTGGGGAGAAAAAGCAGAAAGAAAAAAAAACGGAAAAAGAATATTGGCAACAGTTGTTAGCTCAGGTGCCAATGTTTAAAACAAAAAAGAAAAAAGAAAAAATATACAGCAATTTCAAATCTCTGAGGTTCTCAAGCCAAGTGGGAAATGCAGAATTTTATGTAGAAACAATTCTCCAACACTTTAGTGAGGTACAATTTACATGTAATAAATAGCACATATTTAATCCATAAAGTTTGAAATATTCATGGCAAATATGTATATGTGTTTGTAGCGCATTCTCTTCCCACCCATCCCACAGAAACAGACACACGTGCACACGCACACATACACTGGTAAATTCATCATCAAGAACAAGATAATGAGTGTAACAATGTTTCCCAACATTACCTCCTGCCCCTAGAGAATCCCTCTCTCCCTGCCTTCCATGATCTTCCTTCCTTAGACAATCATTTATCTACTTTATTTCAGTATATATTAATTTTCCTTTTCTAGAATTTTATTTATTTATTTTTTGTGAGGAAGATAGGCCCCAAGCTAACATCTGTTGCCAATCCTCCTTTTTTTTCACTTGAGGAAGATTAGACCTGAGCTAACATCTGTGCCTATCTTCCTCTATTGTTTGTACGTGGGATGCTTCCACAGCATGGCTGATGAGCAGAGTAGGTCTGCAACCGGGATTAGAACCCACGAACCCTGTCTGCTGAAGCAGAGCATGCTGAACTTTAAACACTTGGCCACAGGGCTGGCTCTTAGAATTTTAAATAAATCAAATCTTTATTCCATTTTTGTGGTTTCTTTCTTACTGCATAATTATTTTGAGTTTTATCTTTGTTGTGTGTATAACTTATTCTTTTTATTGCTGAATAATCTATGTATGGATAGGACACAATGTTTTATCCATTTATCTCTTTCTTTAAATGTATGTTGTTTCCAGGTTTGGCTATTAGAGATAAAGCTACCAAAGATACTTATGTCAAGCCTTTATATGAAAACATGTTTCATTTTTTGAGTTAATATCTAGAGTGTAATCCTAGGTCAGATGGTAAGTTAACATGTTTGTCTTTAAGAAACTGCCAAATGGGGGCCAGCCCACTGGTGCAGCGGTTAAGTGCGCATGTTCCACTTCGGCAGCCGGGGGTTCACCAGTTCGGATCCCAGGTACAGACATGGCACCGCTTGGCAAGCCATGCTGTGATGGGCGTCTCATATATAGAGTAGAGTAATATGGGCGTGGATGTTAGCTCAGGGCCAGTCTTCCTCAGCAAAAAGAGGAGAGTTAGCAGCAGATGTTAGCTCAGGGCTAATCTTCCTCAAAAAAAGAAAAGAAAAGAAACTGCCACATGGTTCCAAAGTGGTTATACAATGTTATGTTCCAAACAGTAGTGTATAAGAATTTGGGTTTTCAAGATCCTCACCAACACTTTGTGTAATCAGTCTTTATAATTCTAATGTGTGTTTTTTTGAATGTCCTTGAAAATAAATAAATAGAAGGAAGCACAGTGCCTGGTAGGCTCCTTTGACTTCAAGAGGCACCTTTTCTGCAACAGGAATACTATACGTCCACTAGTGTTTGTGGAAGACAGGCCAGCTTGAGGGGTTCCTAGAGCAGGAAGAAGTTGGCACAGATCTGGGCTGTGGCACAAGCAGTCCTGCCACTGGGGCCATATGGTTCAGCAGACTCCTTGGTGTGGATGGTGTCTGTGGTGGAGAAGGATGCAGTGTAGGGTGTTAGCAAGTCCCATCTGGGGAATCACAGTGCAGGCTGCTGAGGCTCTAGAGGAAGTCCATGCCATCTGCAGTACAGATTTATAAATCACTGTGAAACAACTTGTGTTGTGTCATTGTGCCCACATAATAACAGAAGACTGAAATACGGGGCATCATCTCCATGCATCCAGAACGACCCACTGTGAGGAGAGTTCTCTTGGACCATCCAAGTCATAAGGTCAGACGGGCACTGCTGAGTTCCATTGTACGGGAGAGATGTACAGGCAGGATCGAGCCAGATCAACTCCAGAGAACACAAGCAGGCTGCATGAGCAGGTAGGGGAGACCCCAGCACGGTAGGAACAGCTCACTGCAGTGGGTATCCTGGGTGATCTGCACAGCCAGCTAAGGGGAGGAGAAAGCCTGAGCTTGGGTTCTGCTTGGGTCGCTTTGATTTGTGAGGGAAGTAGAAATTAGTGGAGGCTGCGTCACAGCTACAATCAGGATGTCCTGGAAAGACAGTGGAGAAGACAAACTTTCCCAATGGGTGGAGCTGTGAGCTGGTCATCCATTTTGTGTGGAATAATAAGTATCCCGAGGTGGCAACATATATAGATCCCAGGGCAGCAGCCGATGATCTGCCCTGGCAAAGAAGGAAGAGTCGAGAAGGTAGTTGATGAGGAGGTCTGGTGTACAGGCATGTGGATGCACTTATGGGAATGTGAACATATGGGAAGTGTTCTGTATGGTTTATTAAAACACCCCCCAAAACATTACCAGCCACCCTGGAACGGGTACCATCGCCACATGAGTGCTCTGGAACTCCAGCCCTGCTCTTGCCCCTGGGACCTTATACCGTCTGTTTCTTCTCCAAGGAACATCTTCCCCATATATCCTCACAAGTCACTCTCTCCCGCCCTCTAGTTGTGTGCTGCAATACCATCTCTACAATGAGAACAACGCTGAGCCCTCTATTTCCTTGAAATCCTCCTGACCCCCCACGCTTGTCATTTTCAGTGCTGCTGTTTTATATTTGCACACGTGTCACCTTATAATTTACTATATTACATGTTTTCTTTGTGACTATTGGCTACTCCCTTCAGTTTGAATGAAGGCTGTATGAGGACACATTCTTTTGTTCCCTGATGTATGATATTGGTCTGGATGAGCCTCTGAGTCAGATGAGATGTTCAGTCAATGTTTGTTGAAGCTTTCCTTCCACATTCTTCCACGTCGTTCTACTCTCACCTTGCCATTCCTTTCCCTCCAGGTTTGTTTTTCCTCAGAGTTGTGATGATTGAAAAGGATTCCCACCTTGAAGATACAAGAGTTTCATGCTAGTCAAGTTTCTAGCATAGCCATGGTCTCTACTTAATTTTCTCACATATTAGAACTCAGTGTCTCCTAGTCAACACATCTGTTCTCAGGATTCACGGATCCCTTTCTCCTCTAGCTATTGAGTCCTTCTCAATGGACATCCCCATTAATCTGTTTGAGTAACCCTCTGTAATTTGCTCTCCTCACTTGTTTTCCAGAGAAACTCTCCACTCCCTCTGCAGACACTGCCGCCGTACTTCCCAGTGAAATGATAATCACTTCCCAGCAAGGAGATGAGCTTGTTGTGTCCCAAACCTTCATGTCAGGTTCAGGTGCCCACTTTCCACGCTTGCACAGATGCATCACTGCAGCCACTGTCCTGGCAGCAGGTGTAGAGTTGGGAAGTAACCACTGTTACCAGGTAAATGTTATGTTCTTATGAAGGAATACATCACGTCTCAGAAAATTCAGTAAGAAATGTTACATAGAAAAAGAGTTATACTTTCTGAGGTCACAAATAGTGACATAGAATTGGAAGGGCCATATTGTAAAGGACCCAGAGGCATTGTCTCATCTCATGTGCTTGCCTTGAACTGCCTAGTATGTCCTCTGTGTTTCCTCTTATAACCTGTCTGGATTATTCTTCTTGTTGAGCAAACATACTAAACCTCACAACATCCATTCCATGAGCTTCACTCCATGTAGCATGAAGAGCAAGAAGACAGTGTATTTTATTTGCAATTTTTGTGTGGACATTTAATGTCTTTATAGCTATTGTTGGATATAAATGTCTGAAAAATAGGAAGGAAGCAAGCTCTTTTTCTCAGCACAGTTAGAATGTTACTAAGGTTCTTGATGTAGTCATAGATGTTGTAATCCTTCCAGAATTGCCTCAGTGTCTTCCTCAGTTGCAGCAATAGCCTGGGCTAAGGGTCTTCCTTGGGTAGTAGGCCTTAAAGGAAGCTGTAACTCCTTGATCCATTAGTTGGACCAAAGAGGTGGTGTTTGGAGGGGGAAACACCACTTTGGTATTGGGATGAAGATCACCAGTAAAAGGAGGATGTCTGGGACCATAATCCACAACACACAAAATATTGAAAGGTCTGTCATTCTCAAAACAGTACTTCTCAATTTCGCTGGCATAACAACTGAGGAGGGCATCATGGAAGAGGAGCTGGGTCATCCATGACTTCTCATGGCTCCTGTCATTCACTGGCAGTGTGTACTTATTGACAGGCTTGAAGGCCCTGGGGTTCTCACTGTACAAAGGGTTTCAATCTGTACCCTGCAACATTGCCCCCAAGGTGTGACTGTTATCCTGTCCTTAAAAGTCTTGAAACCTGGCATTGACTCGGCCTTCTTATGCGTTAAATTCCTTTCAGGCATCCATTCCCAGAATAGAGAGGTTTCATCCATGTTGAATATTTGCTCTGGCAAGTAATTTTCCTCCACAATCAGCTTATCTGGGGTTTCCAAAAGTTCTTCAGCTGCCTTCACATCAGCACTCACAGACTCACTGCGCACTTTCACATTATGTAATGAATAACAATTCTGGAATCATTTAAACCACCCAGAGGTAGCAGTAAAGTCAACATTATAGTCGAGTCGAGCCTTTTCTTTCAACATCGCAAAAAACTTACTGCTTTGGCCGTGATCGTCATGGTGCTAAGAGAGAGATGCTTCTATGTCTGATCTTCAATCCAGGTCATTAGAAGTTTCTCCATGTCTCATGTAGGTCCTTCTTGAATTTTTGTTAGTCTTATCGCCTTCAATGAAGCAGATCCCTTAACACATTCTATCACTTTGGTCTTGTTCTTCAAGATTGTAGCTATAGTGGAATGGGAGATGTCTGACTAGTGAGCAATAACCATCATTGATTTCCCACCCTTGTGGTCCTTAATCAGTTTTAATTTGGTTTCCAGGTCAGTCATCTGATGTGGCCTCTTACTGGCAGCATTAGCATTGAATTTTGTTTGCTTAGGGGCCATGATGAACAAATTGACATGAGATTAAATGCAAGAGAAAAGGATGCAATTAAGAGACTCAGTAAACATGAGATGTATGAGGCCACTGTTGGCAAAACCTGGCATAATGTTTTACAGTTAAATTTTTTTTTTTGTAAGTGGAAAGAGTATCCTCTAAAATAACAATAAAAAGTACAGTATAGTAGAACCAGCCCTGATGGCCTAGCAGTTTTAACTTTGGGTATGCTCTGCTCTGGCTGCCAAGGTTTGGTTCCTGGGTGCAGAACGATACCACTCATCTGTCAGGAGCCATGCTGTGGTGGTGGCTCACATAGAAGAACCAGAAGAACTGACAACTATACACAGCTATGTGCTGGGGCTTTGGAGGTGGGGAAGAAGGAAGAAGGATGAGGATTGGCAACAGATGTTAGCTTAGGGCAAATCTTCCCCTGCAAAAAAAAAAAGTACGATATAGTACAGTCATACACCCCATAATGATGTTTCGGTCAAGGACGGACCACGTATATGACAGTGGTCCCATAAGATTAGTACCATATAGCCTAGATGTGTAGTAGGCCATACCCTCTAGGTTTGCTTAAGGACACTGTGATGTTTGCACAACGATGAAATTACCTTACGTTGCATTTCTCAGAATGTATCCCCTTCTCCAGGCAAAGCATGACTGTGAATAAACACATAAACCAGTAACATAGTTGTTTATTGTCATTATCAATTATTATTCACCATACATAGTTATATGTGCTATGCTTTTATGCAACTGGCAGCTCAGAAGGTTTGTTTACACCCTGATTACCCCAAACGTGAGTAATTCATTACGCTACAACATTACAATGGTTACAGTGTTGCTAGGCAATAGGAATTTTTCAGTTCCTATATAAGTCTTATATGTGACCACTATCCTATATGTGGTGGGTCGTTTACTGAAATGTCATTATGCGGCACATGACTGTAGTTTGCATCTATCTTCCCACTCTCTCCTGGCTTGTAAGTTTTCTGCTGAGAAATAAACTGATATCCTTGCAGGATTCGCTTGTATAACATGAGTTTGTTTTCGCTAGCTGTTGTCAAAATGTTCTCTTTGTAAATGCTTTTCAACAGGTTTATTAGAAAGTGTCTCAGTGACGTTCTCTTTGGATTGAATCTGTATGGCACCTATGAGCATCATGTAGCTGGATGTCCACTTCTCTCCATAGCTTTGGGAAGTTTTCACCATTACTTCTTTAAATAAGCTTTTTATCCTTTATTTCTCTCTTTATCTAGGGCTCCCATAATTTGAATAATGTTTTGCTTCCTGTTCCATAATCCATGTAGGCTTTCTTCTCTGTTTTTCTTTTTTTTTTCTTTTTTCTCCCCTCATTGGAAAATTTAAAGACCTGTCTTCCAGTTACAGCTTCTTTCTTTTGCTTGATCAAGTTGGATGCTGAGGCTCTCCATTACGTTTTTCATTTCATTCATTGTATTATTTAGCCACAGAATTTCTGTATCATTCTTTTTTTAAATGGTAGAACGTTGGCATATTATTATTCATATAAGCATTTAATGCCAGAGAAATGAAGGTAAATTACAAACAGAATTTTTGTGTGTACAGGAGCCGGCCCCGTGTCCAAGTGATTAAGTTCATGGGCTCCGCTGCGGCGGGCCAGGGTTTCGCCAGTTCGGATCCTGGGCACGGACATGGCACCACTCGTCAGCCCACATTGAGGCGGTGTCCCACATGCCACAACTAGAAGGACCTGCAACTAAGATATACAACTATGTGCCGGGGGGATTTGGGGAAATAAAGCAGAAAAAAAGAAAAGAATTTTTGTGTGTACATGAAATTTCCATTGTAGAGTACAGTTTTATATCACAGTAGTTCAAATGCATTTCTCTACAGGTATTTCCACATTGCTCCTTTGGAATGATTTCCATCATACCTAACATGTGTTTACCAAGGACCTGGAATCTAAACAAACAAACGAAATTTCATATGACTCACTTTTAGATAAATGCGTTAAAAAATAAAGTCATCAGATGATTGAGACTGTTAATTTCCAACAGACACTTTGTGGAAATGTTCCTTCTGATACAACAGTTATAAGTTTGAACCATCAAAAAATAAGGGCAGAACATGAGTAAAAGAAAATAAACTTTGCCCCTTAAGCATCCCATAGTCCTAATGCTTTGACCAAAGCAATGCAAGGCATTTTTCCTGCAAACTAAATGGGTCTCCAATATTTCCATCTAGTTGAGATTCAGAGATAGAAACCTAAGGACGTATAATCGTATATATGCCATCTTGCCCTGGTTGCTTTAGTTATGCCTGAAGAGTTTTACCCATACAAGCCCGAAGGTGGAAGGACAGGTAAACTGATCTGGTAATTGACAAGAGCTGACTGTAAAAGCACAAGCTAGCTGAGTTAGTGCAGCCCTGTGGGAAGTTTTCTCACACACACAATGAGTAGAACTGTCCTGCTCAAAAGACCAGTGCAAGGACAGTCAATTTAGAAAGAGACAGAAACATTCTTCTCGCCCACATGTTACCTGCCACACGACTTCTTAAAAGGTAGATAGTATTAAGAGGATTTATTTGTTGTGAGTGTGTGTGTGTGTGTGTGTGTGTGTAATGATCTAGTACTGTTCCATTTCTTCTTCTGCTTTTGACATGTCTTCCTAGTTCCCTGTGGTATCAAATTAGAATTAGGAATGCCGTCAGTAATGGATAGGCTATTCCCAACTATTCACTAATCAATTCACTTGTCAGTTCTTCATATCTGAGCACCTTCTTGGAGAGTGCCCATACCAAGAACTGCAGTAGCACCTATTGAAGGTGTGGGGGTGATTATTCTTCCTTGTTGCTCCTCTGTGTCCATGACCTCAATGGGTGCAGGCTGTATGGGTGAGGGCAGATGAAGGTGCGCCTTCCACCTGCAGCTGGTGGCAAGCCCCCTGCTTGCTCCACTCAGCCTGGCCTGGCACCAGTGACTGCACCTCACCATGCCCTTGACCTGCTGCTGTTCTGTTCCTCTTTATGGTTTCTGTTTTTGTTGAAAAGCTTGCTTTGTTTTTGTATTGTTTACCTAGTTTGTTGAATTGCCTGTTTTCTTGTAGCTCACTGGCTTGGTTAAAAGAGTGATTTTGAATTCTTTGTCTGGCTGTTTGTAGAACTCCATTTCTTTGAGGTTGTTTCTGATAATTGATCGTGTTCCTTAGTGTCATGTTTCCCTGATGTTTTTATGTTTCTAGTTGCCTTATGTTGATGTCTGCTCATTTGATGGTGTGGTCGCCACCAGTATAGTCTCCATGCAGTTCCATGACCTGAGAATGGTGTCCATGAAGACAGCAGGCATCCTCCTTACACAAGGCTGTGGGCGTCTACAGCAGTGGAGAAGGCTGCTGAGGATCTCAGGATCTTGTTTTCTCCCATGGAGGACATAGTGGCCAAGTAGATCCCTCTTGGTGCCGAGTCCACCTCTCAGGCACCGTGTTGGTGGTGGCAGCACTGGTGTCTGATGAATGGGCACCAGTGGAGCAGATACAAAGCTGGGGTCTGGTGTGTTGGCACTTGAGAAATTTCAGCGGTTCTGGGATCTGGGACTTTGGACAGACATCAGCAGTTTTGGCTTTGGTTTGTAAGATGGGAGCTACACACTAAGCAACCCTGGAGGCTGTGTCCATGGAAACACAGTGGCTCTGGAGAGCTGGATAGTCTACAGCAAGGGTGTCTCCTGTGCCTGAGATGCAGGTGTACATGGTGCAGCTGTGGAGTCAGGGTCTGGAATGTGGACACACATGGTGCAGGCACAGCTCTGGGGTCCAGGATGTGCACAGGGTTGGGGGTGGGTGGCAGCCCTCGTCCTGGAGCGGCACAACAGTGGCTCCTTCTCGGGGTTGCAGTACCTTCATAAGAGGCGTCAGCCATGGTGATGGATGTTGGTTAACTCATTGGCGAAAGGCACCAGTGTCCTCTGTGGGGCAGGCAGCTGGGGTCTTCTGCCAAGCAGGCCACCGGGGACTGCAATGGCACCCAGCCTGTGGCTGGTAGAGGGAGCCCCTGCACTTTTTATTTCCTACCTGTCCAGGTGTCTCTGCTAAGACAGTCTCTGCCCCGATCCTTCCTGTGCACTCATTCTCTTCTTATGCTCCACTGTGTTGTAGTTGGTTCTTCACTGGACTCTTGATCCCTTCAAGGCTGATTTCATTTGTGGTCAACTGTTTTTTTCTGTGTTGGTGGTGAAGAGTGGTGTCTTCTATTCCACCATCCTGCTGAGGTCTCACCTGGATCTCTTTTCTGTGGTCTGCTGTGGGCTGAGTTGCTCTGGGACAGTGTGAGCCATTCACCTCTCCTGTCATTCTCTTAGGATTTGTATCCTCACGTCCCATGTAGTTGCCCAGCTGAGGTTTAGGAGGAAGACTTCTCTGTGTGTCGCAGGATGGACATGACTCCAGCCTTGTCAGGGTGGGCTCAGAGGGGATCTGGTCCTGGTGAGTGAGTGACAGCTGGGGAGGGTGTCACGTCAGGCTTGTGTTCAGATCATAGCAGGAGCCTGTCCTGTTCAACCAGAGTTTTGGTGCCATTGCCAGTGGCCACACCCCATTTCTACCTTTCCTTTCCCACATTGACACTTTGCCGACTTCTCAGTTCTACTGCTTGTCATTTCCTGTGTGACTTCATCCCAGGGATAATCCACCTCTCTGGACTCCGCATCTGACTCGTTTCTCTCACTAGTCTTTCTGGGTGCTCGCCCCTTGGCTCACACATGTCATGTGGTGAGGTGTGACCATGTCCTTAGATTGACCTTGATTAACAGCTAATCTGTTTTGATTGGATTGTCATGGACTTGGCCGCACCTTCCACTAAGCCTCACATCAGCAGCAGCAAAGGTCCTGCAGGAAGCTGTGGGCAGAGAACAAGGTGTAGACCCTGCCTCTCTCTCGTATCTCACCTTATTTTTGTATCTTTCTCTTGCTGAGTTCTCCACCATTCTTCAAAATAGGGGCCCTGTAATACACAGAAGCTTCAACTGGATTCCAGCTCCGTTGTCTTGAAAAGCATCTGCTGGATTCTTTGTTAGATTTACATTTGTGATGGGGTTGCCCCTCCCTGTAGTCAGTGTGTACTTCACCAGGGTTCCTTTGTGTTCAGGTTGTTGTTGTGGAGCAGAGGATGTGGAGACTCCCTTTGAACAGAGCGTTTCTGTAGGGATTTCACAGTCCAGGATAGCTCCACTTTGCCAGAAGACTCATCCCTGTGAGATATGTGGTCTGGTGTTGAAAGACATTTTGCATTTGGCTAAGCACAAGGGAATACAACACAGCCAGAAACTGTTGAGGTGTGGTTCCTGTGTGAAATTGTTCTATCTCACTGCACTGTTTAACCACCACCAGGAGCAGCACATACGGGAGAAGCAGTGTGGATAGGGCCTTAAGAGTTGCGGATTCCATGTGTCAGGGAAACCCTTTCCCTGGGGGGAGGTTTGGAAGGCCACTCACACCAGGGAGAAGCCCCATAATATCACCCAGTGCAAAGCAACTCTGCGAAACAGAAAAAGTCGTTACACCTGGGAAGAAAGCCTTCAGCCCCAAACGCACACTTGTTCAGGACCAAGGTGTCCACACTGAAAGATGGTGTTTTACATGCCATGAATGTGGGAAGACACTCGGGTCCAAATCCTCATCTGTTATGCACCAGAATGCCCACACTGGAGAAAGGCTTCATGTGTGTGGCGAATGTGGCAGATTTCTTTAGGGGAAACTTAACCTTCAGTCAACATTGAAAACTTCATACTGGGGCAAGGCAGTACAAGTGCAGCAAATGTGGCCAATCCCTAAGCCACAAATCTGTCCTCATTCATGTCTGGAGAAGTCAAACTGAAGAAAATTCTTACACGTACAGTGAATGTATGAAATCTTTTAGCCATAGCTCAATTCTCATTCACCACTGGAGAGTTCAAACTGAAGAAATGCCTTATAAATGTAGTGACTGTGCTAAATCTTTTACCTCTAGATCTGCTTTCAGTTATAATTTGGTAGCTTACATTGAAAAAAGACTTTATGACTGGGTTGAATGCGGGAAATCCTTTACTGAAAGCTGCAGACGCATTACACACTGGAGAGTTCATACTGGGGAAAGGCCCTATGAATGCAGCAAATGTGGCAAAGCATTTTGACAAAGTTCTTCACACCTTCCACATCAGAGAGTTCACCCTGGAGAAAAGCCTTATGAGTGTGGGTATTGTGACAAATCCTTTGGGCAAAAGCACAACCTCATTCAACTTTGGAGCATTAACAGTACAGAATAACCTTATGATTCTGGCATATTTGGGAAATCTTTTAAGCAAAAGCCTGACCTCGTTCAACAGCAGAGTTCACACCAGACAAAGGCCATATGAATGCAACAAATGTGGGAAATCATTTAGCCAAAGCCCTGTGTTCTGTTGACATCAAAGACTTCACAGTGGATCAAGGCCTTTTGAGTGCAGTGAATGTGAGAAATCTTTTAGCCAAAGGTCCAACCTCATTCAATGGCAGAGAGTTCACACTGTTTCAAGGCCTTATGAGTGCAGTGAATGCAGAAAATCCTTTGTTGATTACTCCAACTTTATTAAATACAAGAGAGTTCACACTGGAAAAAGTGATTTGTGGAAATCATTTTCCACAAATGTGGAAAAGGATTTGTTCAAAGTTCTATACTCTGTCAACATCAGAGGGTTTACACTGGATAAAGGC